TACAGAGGACTTCACTAAGTTGGTGTTCTTAGTTTGATGAATGAGAAACTCCCACAACAATCCCTTGTTTTAGTTACAATTGTCAATTGTTTATGTTCGGAAACTTTTGGTTGTAAAGCTTAATACATGTGTAAAGCTACAAAGTCTTCCTATCCAAGTTTTAGTTACAATTTCCAAGTGTTTATGTTCAGAAACTTTTGGTTGTAAAGCTTAATGAATCCTAAGTAACATTTTTATAAAATCTGATGACGGTTGACTTTTACAGCATAACGACTGCGTTTTGACTAAAACTAAATTTCAACCTAATTGAAACCAACAAAAACCTTACCAATCTAAACCTGTACAACTATAGTAGTAAAATACGTGCGAAAATAATGAAATTTAAATGTGTACATACACAAGGCAAACATTTTAATGAACACATATAACATTTATGTTTACGTTCTTTTGATATATATATATATATATATATATATATATATATATATATATATATATATATATATATATATATATATATATATGGAAAACCTTTTTTTATAACAATATATATGTATATATTTTATTATCATTTGGGTGATAAAATATGTATATATACTTAAAAATCAACACCTACATACAACATCTATATCACTTAAAGTCAATTTAACCCAATGAGACAAGGTTGGGAAATTAATCTAAAATGTCTATTTTGTCTCTGTTTTAGAAAAATTCTAGAAAAATCATCGGGGGTCGGAATTAGGATCCGTAAACTCTCGAGGTTTAGAAATTGAGTCTATTTTGTCCATGATTTTTTTTCGATGACTTTATGTGAATCCTAACCACGGTAAAAAGGTCCGTTTTTACAGATTTGTTCGAAATGTTCTAAAATGATATGCAGTTTTGTAAAAATCATCATAAATTGTAGAAAAATCGTATGAATATGTGCGAGTAGTCCATGAAAAGGTATTAATCTTAAATACTTTCATATTGTACAGTTTTGCAAACCATAAGGTTTAATATGGGCAAAATAGTTCTTGAACAGACCACAATTTTTCTGTAAAAAAGGCTGACAATTAAGCTTAGAAATGTTTAGAGAAATAACTTGTATTTTTAGTTTATCAAGCCTTTATTTCACCTAAATAGAAATCATTTAGCATGTATTCTCCCCCAAAACTTGTGAAACATAAAATAGGAGCCATAGAAACTTGCTTTTGTCGCGTAACATTTTTCGGTTCGAGAAAGATTCGTGAAAATTCCGGTTCCAACGAAGCTTGAGATTTGAATGATTTTTGGGATGTCTTAACACATAAAGACATTCATTAACAATAAGTTAGAATTTTATCAAGCTTTAACTCACTTAAAACAAGTGAGTTTTATGATAAAATAGACAAAGTAGAAATCATATAATCACCTAGTTTATCTTGGATCCAAAGTGTGTTACCAAAAGAGTGTTGAAACACAACGATTCTAAGGAACAAGATGAAGGTTTTCTTGGGTTTATAGACACTAGAAATCAGAACTTCATGAGGTTGTTTAGATCTCGAAATATGGCAGCAAAAATTGATATTTTTGTGGGTTGTATAACACTCGAAAAACAACCACTGTTTTGGGTTGTTGCTGTCACGATTTTTCCAGCAAAGAAGTAAGAAAAATAGTGGTTTACTCACTGTTTTGATAACCTATTTTAATGAAGCAAATCAAGTAACTTTAAGAGGTAATTTGAGGTGAAAGTACCATGAAAAGTGAAGGTGGAAGGGGCTGAAATGGTAGCAGAAATCCCAAAGGCAGCAACAGATTTCTTGCTCTCGGTTTTGGTAGATCACGAAGAGGAAAAGTGGAGCTGAAAATGGCTGGGTTTGAGAGTGATCTTGGAGTGATTTCTTTAGAGCATTTGGCTGGAATATGAAGGAGAAATTAGGAGGAAGGTTTCGATATTTACAGGGGAATGAGAGAGGTGTAAAATATCTTCCAAATCTTATCCAAGATAGGATAAGATTCACCTTGCAACTTGCATCCCGACTTGCAAGTTTAGTTACATAGAGATAAGACTTAGTTACTTAGAGATAGGAAGGTAGTTTAGTTAGTTAGAGATAGGATTTAGTTAAAAGATGTATTAAGGAAGAGTAAGGAGCAAGTTTTCGAGATTTAGGAATGAAACAAGCTTTCTTAGTGACTCAATGTATCAAGGGCATTAGTTCAATGATCTTAAGTCAAATATTTTACCTTATCAAATGGTTTAAACACCATATTCCTCATATTATGTGTTTTTTAGTTATTTTTAAGTTACGAATCCATAACTTGTCATTTTATCATATCATGATACACATAAATATGAATCTATATGTATTGTTGAGAAATAGCAATGAAGTTTATACATATTGGTATTTAAATATTTATATTTGATTGTATTATTTATAAACATTTGGATACTTTCAATTATGCCTCATAATAATCCATTTTATATTTTTATAAGATGAATATAATATTGATTTCCCAATGTAATATTTTGTGATTTTTAACCGCTTGAAGCATAGCTTTTAACCATTTTTCGTCGTTTTGGTTTGTAATGTAGTCAACTTTTGATTCCTCAAAACTATTGAATACGAGTTCGTAGATGGAATTTAAGTTACTCATTAATCGGAGACGTGTTGAAATGGAAATTAAAATTCCGTATTCAAATGACATTATTTGATAGATTTCACGAACCGGTTTTAGTTCGGAATAATACAACGTAAAAGAATTTATCATTATTCACCAGTTTTATTTTCACAAGACATTTTCTAAATAAAACGTGTTAAATTCCTTAAACCATTTTTGGTAAACTAATCATATGGATTAGAATCAGTATATGGCATCCTATAATTGTTCATATTTTTACCAATTGTTACACTCAACACGTGATCAAACTATGGCAAATGGTCTTAGGTTAATAGCCAACGAAAGGATTATGCTTTTTTTTTATCGATGTTGCTTATCAAGTACTAGAAAGGCCAATAGACATGTATTTAGATCATATTGGGGGAGGATTTTAGGACTGGTTGGATGAAGAAAATGATGAAAGTGGTTCAGTGATCCAGGGGGATGACAAAGAGCCTTCACAAGGAACCCCTGATCCTGAACCAGCCTATATGTTTGATGCTGGTTTGGAAGATGAAATCAATAGGGAAGACTGTGCCCCTCTAAAAAAGACCAAGGAAGATAAGTTTCTTAACAAGTTATGCCCAGAAGGTGGAGAAGAGAAAAAGGTTGAAGAAATGGATAATAGTGAGGAATTGGACAATGATGTTCTTGAGGAACATCCTATCTTCAATCCTCATGTACATTGGAAGAAGCAAGAACCAATTTTAGACATGAGATTTGAGAATCCAAAACAACTTAAAAGCATGTTATGTAATTATGTTGTTAAGAATGACTATCAACTATGATTTAAAAAGAATGGCAGTAAAGGGCTTCTAGTACTGTGCTGTAAAGGTGCTTGTACTTTCAGGATATGGGCAAGTTGGATGAGTACAGAACACAGTTTTCAAATCAAATCTCTAAAAAGTGAGCATCAATGTGCTAGGAACTACAAACTAGGTTCAATTGTCAATTACCAATGGATTGGTAGCCACTACACCAAGAAGATTTTGCATAGATAAAAAATGACAATTAGGCAACTAAGATTGGATGTATTCATGAAATTTGGTATTGAAGTCGGTATCATCCAATGCAGAAGGGCCAAACAGTATGCTATAAATATTATTGAAGGTACCCTTATTGAGCATTATGCTAAGCTCTGGTCTTTTGGAGATGAAATTGGAAGATCCAACCCTGGTTCAACAGTCAGCATGGATGTACTTACAATTCCAAATGGAACTAATCACTTTAGTAAGTATTATGTTTTTTTTATGGTGTAAAGAAGGGGTGGTTAGAAGAGGGTAGGAAGGTGATTGGAACTGATGGTTTCTTATTGAAAGGGTATGTTACTGGTGAGTTGCTATGTGTTATGGGGAAAGATGCTAGGGACCAAATATACCCAATTACCCGGGCAGTAGTATGTGCTGAAAACAAGGAAAACTGGAAATGGTTTTTGTTATTGTTAAGTGATGATCTCAATCTTGGTATGAGATAAGGTTTCACTCTTATGTCATACCAACACAAGGTAACAAAAACATTTTATTACTTCTCTTTCACAAAGTATATTACCCAATTCATATCTAACTACTTGTATGTTGGTATAGGGTCTTATGGAAATTGTCAAGGAATTGCTACCCCAAGCTGAGCATAGGCAATGTGCAAGGCACATTGTTGCCAACTTTAGTAAAAAGTTTCTAGGGGCAGAGTTTGTTAATTTGTTTTGGGCTGCATCTAATGCAACAATAGAACAATATTTCATGGAAATAATGAAGGATATTGAGCTATGAGTCCAGAGGCAAGTAACTACTTGATGGAGAAGGACCCTAGAACATGGTCAAGAGCTTACTCTTAAGTTGGTAGATGTTGTGCTAGTGTGGAGAATGGAGGATGAGAAAGTTTCAATGCAGTCATAGTTGAATCCAGGAAGAAACCTATCATCACAATGCTTAAAGAATTGACAATGTATATGATGAACAAATTGTTCACAACAAAACTTAATGGATGGTCAAGTGATGTTTCACCTGAAATAAGGCTAAGCTTGAATGAGTTAAAGGTTAATAAAAGGTTTTGGAACGTATTGTCAAGTGGACTCAACCAATTTGAGACTAGGTCAAGAAGTGAGGCATATGATGTTGATCTAGACAAGAGGACATGTTCATGCATGATGTGGCAACTTAATGGTTATGGGTGTGTTCATTTAGTGGCTGCCATTAGCTACCTTAATAGAGATGTGCATAAATACGTGGATCCTTATTCTTGTAGAGCAATGTATATGAAGACCTACCAGTACAAAATTTGTCCAATGAATGGAAGCAAGATGTGGCCTGAAACTAATTACATTCCACCTTTACCCCCCAAGAATAGAAGGATGCCTAGTAGGCCAAAAACAAAAAGTTAGAGATATGATTGAAAAGGGTGGAAAACATAGAGTTTCTAAGAAGGGTAAGAAGATATCATGTAGCTTGTGCAAAGTGGAAGGACATAACAAGAAGACATTCCCAACTCTTGATAGGCCAACACCAAGGAAGTTACCAACTAGGGTTAACATGACTAAGACTAAAAAGGTAATTACCACTTCTTATTTCTTATTTTTTATTCATTATTAAGTATGTGTCATTTAATTGTATATTATGTGAATATAACAGACTCAAAATATGGAGAAAAGGACTGTAGAAGTGGCAAGTAGAAGTGCGACAGGAATGGAAGGTGGGGATACACAAGGTAGTATGGTTAAGAGGACTAAGACAACAAAGGTAAATACAACTTCTCATTTATTATTTTCTTATTTGTTAATCAATATGTGTCATTTCAGTGTATATTATGTGTGTATAAAAGGGTGAAAATATGAAGAAAAGGATTGTAGAAGTAGCAAGTAGAAGAAGGACAAGAATGGAAGGTGGGGATATACAAGGTATTAGGGAGAGTGAGACTACACAAGTGACAAGGGAGAGGAGTAATGTTTTACTTACCCAGGTTAAGAGGAGGAAAAAGAGTGAAAGAATCATCAAGAAAAAATTGGCGACCCAAGTTATAAGAAAGAATTTAGAGGGGAAAACTTCAGAAAAACCTGTAAACTTAAAGTAGTTTTTGCATGGGAAGTGCATGGGATGTGTCCTTTATTATGTAGGCTTTTGTATGTAATGCTTTGTACTAGCATATGTAGTAAAAATATGTTAGGATGTTTTCTTTTAAAGATTATATGCCGTAATGGTTATGTAATGCTTTGCACTGATTTTTTTTGAACAGCTGAATAATATTAAAATGAAACTAGCAAGAAGCTAGAAATTACAAAGAAATAGCTAGAATTGGGGTTTTAAGCCAATCAACCCAATTAGTTTTAGTTTTAAAATTTTTAGAACTAAACCAATTATAGGAAAAATCAACTATATCTTCAAAAATCTGATTTTTAATCGGATTAGAGTCTCTAAAAATGATACCATTACGATATATCCAAATCACCCATAATGTCGTTTGAATAATAGTCTCCAAAACCGTCTTTTTATTACCCGAGATCGTATCCAACCAAAAAAAATAGATCATGTAGTATATCCACACCCGGAAGCACCAAATCCACCCATCTAAATACCCTTTTCCAGATAACATAAACTTTTTCACATAATAAGAAACACATTATCTGAATTTTCCACTTGTTTATCACATAACAAACAAAGCAACGAAGGGATATCTAAACCTTTGATGCTAATATTCCACCTGGAAGGTAAACGATCAATTAACAATCTCCAAATAAATATGTTTACCTTTCTAGGAATGAAGCGATTCCACCTGGTCATGTATTCTCTTGTGGGATCCATTGTCCTTTGTGTCCTTTTTATACATGAGCATTATATGGTCCCTTGTCTCTTGTCCCTCCTGGAATTGTTAGGTGGACCATGCTACTTAAAAAATTGTTTGTGGACCATATCATGCATGATATTATATAATTAGTGGACCATATAACTTGCATTCTTTGGGGACCATATAACAATTCGTGAAGTATACTATGAAGGAACCCATAAAGGAATGTTAAAACAAAAACAAAAATCCAAGCTTTCTATTATATAATTAGTCCATACAAAAGGTGTTACATGACCATACGTAATGTGGCTAAAGTACAATGCCTATACTAAATTGTCAAAAGGATCGTCATTCCATATACCACCATTACACCATCAAACAACCCTATACACCCTGCATCACCTAACACAACTTTAACTTGATTGCCAAATACCTAATCACCCAAAAGAACATTCCCATATGCACCATGACCCAAAAACCACCTATACACCATGACCCAACATCCTACATCACCTACACCAACTTAAAGTACAGGATCACAAACAACAAACAAACCAAAACAATTAAAACAACCTTTTTCAACATCTTCTTCAGACTTTGAATTTCAATGAGTAGCTCCTGGATCCTAGCCTCAGCAAGTTCCTTCTCGGCTTTCCTAAGAAGCTTGAGCTTCTCAACCTTCTTCTGCAGCTCAACAACTTGAGCACTCCTAACCAAAAGGTCGTCGATCCTAAGTTCCATGTTCCATAAGGTATCCTTGTAGTGTTTTGGTAATGTCGGGTCAAGTCACTGGAAGAAGTTGCAATTGTCGTTGGATATCTACAAAACAAACCCACACACCAGAAAAAGGGTTTACTGTTCGTAATTTAGGGTTTTATCGTTGTAAATGGGGTTTTTGTCGATCGAAATGGGGGTTTGCAATAGAAAAATCACAACTTTAGGTGTAAAAGCTATCAAATGTAAACGAGGGATAGCTTACCGTTGATTTTGCATAATTATAGAAGCGACGAGCTGGGTTGTTAGGCTTCTCTGAGCTTCGACACAGGCTGATCGCGGAACAAGCAGGGAGGATTCACTTCAACATGGAAAATGACGACGGTGTTATAGGATTCTGAGGAGGAAGACATCGTCGAAAGGGTTGGTGTTCGTCGGAGTGTAAGGAATTTGTGAGAGTGGATCTATTGAATCCTTACGAAGATTATGTAGTACGCTGACTGGACACCTAGAATGATTCCATAGACCTCGTCACGTATGAATTTCATTGACCAAACGGGTAACCAGTAATAAAACGAAGAAATCCTAATTTTAGTAGGTAATTTGTCACTTTAGTGAGGTCAGATGTACAAAAATTAGTTGAAGAACATTTTAAAACCAAATGGAAAACATTCTTGTGCTTCTATGTCAATAACCATTTTTCAATTAGATTAGAGATCGAGAAGGTAGATCTACAACAGGTGATTCATCTAAAACCATTATTTAAGAAGAAAAAAATGTATAAATTCAATCTCTCATTTCTGTTTCATACATCAAACTGAATCTGATCTAAATTTGTTTCCCTGGCTTAACTATATTGTTTATAGTACGATAAGGAAAAGAAAATGTGCATCTACATACAACTGTACAAACCAAACCCAATATCTCTTAAGTTATTTGTTATAAAACCAACCAACAGGAGCATCATGCCCAAAAACAAAAGATTTTACTTGAGGGATTGGCCTTATGATTATAGCTAGAAGGGAATTTATTGTTGTAGGCTAAAAATGTTCTGAATTGGAGTCTTTTGTACACCATCCGTCTTAAAACTAGTAGATTTTGGCAACTTCAAGACATGGCTGTCACCACCTTCTCAAATCATGCTCGTGTCCATTTGTTCACTTACAAATTTGAATTCAGAAATTTCACCCCCTTCACATTTCATGTCACATACCCAATTGGTTATTGTCAAATGTAATGGATTCTTCTTTTTTCCATGTCGGTTGATGGTTTACCCGGAGAGTCAGTTGAACCTTCCTATGAGACGTCATTGACTTCATTTTGTTCCCCGAGTCTCCCCTTTCTCTGGAGAACACATATTGTTATGTTAGCTCTATAATGTTTCTTTTAGACATTTTGTCAAACACCTAATGTGCAAAAATAAAGAAACCCATCTACATAGAATCAAGTAAGCCTGATAATACCCAAGTAAAGATGAAATAGTAGAATTCATGGCCCGAATCAATACCATCAATAAACTCATAGTTCTAAAACACATAAATGAAAGAAATTTATCAAAAGCTATCAAAATTGTGAAGAAACTACCTGAAACCTGGTTAGGGTAGACACAACGCAAACGATGGGAGAATTTATGTTAAAATCTATAATAATGACGACGATGAGAGTAACTATTCGCTTCAAAAAACCCACAACCCAAAATGTACTTGAATTCCCTTGCGAAATGGTTTCAAATGGAGAAGGATTCTTGGTGGCAGAGTAACAATTGAGCAGAGAATCCACTGGAAAATATTGAAAATGTAAAGAACTTCTCTTATTGTTAATGATTTTGTGTTAATTGAAGGACCTTCATTCGTGGATAGAGTAGTCGACTTTTGCAGATTGATATTTGCCCTGAGGAAGAAACAATGCAACAACATCGTCCTTGTTCAGTCTGATTAATTCATAATTAAAACTAGAGTGGTTTCCCGTGCGTTGCACGGGACGGAAGGTGTTCGTTTTGTCAAATGAAATATGTTGCTTGCATTGATATCCAAGTAAAGTACATTGCTATTATGTGTAAACCGCCATCGATCGGATGAGCAGAAATGCAATGTAAGTCATGATAGTAAAAGAAGTACAATGCTATATTTGAATAGATTTTCAAAAACAATGAAAACACAGTCTTATATCCGGGTAGTTTTAAATGGAAGTACAATATAATCTACAACAAATGTAGAAAGAACATTCTATTGATGCGAAAAAACAAAAAAAAAAATTCAGCTTTTGACCAATTTACCAATCAACTTGCATCAGCTCCTTTTACCCCAGTAGAAAGGTCATATGTTCTTCCTTTGTCCAGGGAGCTCCTGCAATTCCATAAACAACCATCTTATACTGGTATCACTAATAATAAGAGTACGAATAATGTAACTGGTACGACTTAAAAGAACAAACTCTAAAATTAACAATTTTGATTGAATTTATGGCTTGTTCTGTTATGTTTCCGATTTTTCTGTAAGAAATTTTGTACATATCATCATGTCATCATATCATCATGTCATCGTATTTATAAAAAATGAAAATCATAAAATAGCTGATGAAAAAATAGATAAAAAATCACCTGCGGTTGCGAATGTCCAACATACTTGCATTAATCGAACTGGCATGAGTATTTTAAAATAACGGGATCCATCTAAGGATCCAACATATAACACCTTCCAAAAAACATCAGGGGCTTAATACCTAATTTTTTTTATAAAAAACAATACTACAATGGTTGAATCTATGTAAGAAATAATAAGTAATTTCTATTACAGTCCATTAACACCAAGCTAAGAACCTTCATACATGCATCAAATAATTAAAAGAAACTGAAAAAGAATGGAAGACAATAAATTATGGAATCCATTACTAAATAACTTTTTATGAGATCATACGCACATTTGAAAACCAATGATGAACAAAAATGATATTAACAACCTTAACTTACCCATTCTCACCATCAATGAAAAGAAATCGATTTGCCAAAGGTGCAGGACCCAGCTTATGTGGAAAAAGGGTTGGATTGAAAATGGAAATAACCAAGGGGTAATCTTGTAATTATTTTTGGATTTTTTTTATTTGCTTTTGATTACATTTGTTTTTTATTTAAGTTCCCATTTCAGCAAGTGTGTCTGTTTGTTAAACTTGCTATTATTCTTTTATCTAGTAATAAGAAATAAAAAACAAAAAAATACATACATCAGTCTTCACAGTTTAACTTCTTTTCACCATTTAGTATGAAAAATGTCATTGAATATGATTCTCACGAAGATGAAAACTGAATCGAATTATAGGTATTTACAAAACAATATGTATGCACTTGTTTTTGTTCGTCAAGGTAAAAAAAAGAAAAAACAAAATTAGAAAATTAGGATTAGAAATCGAGCTTTTAAAAGTTGAAAATTATTAACAAATTAAACAAAACCAATCTTTTTTAAATGACAACCTTTATCTTTTATCCTTTTTTTTTTTTGGCAAATTACTCAATACGGGTGTCTTTAAAAACATCACAAAATCAAGAATCGAGATTAATGAATGTGAAAAAATAAGATTTTTTATGCTTACTTCCACTGCTTGAAGCTCCATTCCCATCGTCCCTTCATTCCACGGAATTAATGATTCTGTCTGTAGGTTGACTGTAAAGCACCAGGTCCAGGCTTCCCATCCACCTCATAATTGTTATTTGAATTTGTAGCCAAAATGTTCTTGTAAAAAGATGTAACTGGAGGCCAACCCACCACTTGTGCCCTCTAAAAAAAGTTAGCAATAGGGGTATTTTAGTGATTTCATTCAAATGGAGTTTCTGTATTTGGATTGCACTTACTTAGCAGCAAGAGGATAGGAACTGTTAACTTTGTTAAGACAACTTCCATTCCTGATTCTACAATCAAAACATCAACAGTTTCTTTTCCAACGCACTCAAGAATTTTCACCCCCTTACCATGTCGTAGTCGCTTCTGAGTTACAGACACTTTTATTCATTTCTTCCCGATCCTTCTATTGTCTGACAAAAGGGGAGAGAAAATGTTGTAATCTAGGTATCCCAGAATGACCTTTATTATCAGTAAAACTGCATAATATATTAATATTACCCACAATTAGTAAATAAATAATTATGTATTTTTCTTTTTTATTTAAGTTATTTATGATTAAAAAAAATAAAAACCTACTTGAAACTTGCTCTCTGTAAAGGCGTCCCTCCTACTGCAGCTGGGACTCTTCCTCATAGGGAGTTCCCATTCAGATTCCTAATTAAACCAAATTTGTTAAAACAATAATTCATATGTTTTATATAATTATATATTTATATTTATTGTTAGAGAAAAGAATCTTACAATATTCGAAGTGATGTTAAACCTCCAAGGCTTTCAGGAATGGATCCATTAAAGAAATTGTATGAAAGATCCCTGTTTTATATACAACAAAATATATTTTATTTAACCATTTCATAACTAAAATATATATATATATATATATATATATATATATATATAACCTCTTTTCACACAACAAATCAAATACTCATTTTTCATTCAAATGAGAATAAATTATACTGACAATAAATTATACTCACAATACTGACAATAAATTATACAACAAAATATCTTTTATTTAACCACGTTAGCAAGCATTCCCTGCAATTAACCATAAGAAACATCACCTGTCATCGAAATGAACAAATGTCAACCACAATGACAGTGTTAAGGTTATAAACTCGAAATTTGTACGTAACCGGTGAATCCTAGCCCTCCTTTGGCCCTGATTCATACACATACATCAAGAATCAACCAAAAGATAACTAACATACAATGGATGATTTACATGTGTACAGTTTGCTAAATGAAGAAGCTTACAGGTGTTTCACCCTTTACTACTGGTGGAGCATATTCAGGATCAGTGGGCTCAGCAAAGTGGGTAACAAATTGGGCCATGCATTTTCAAATGAAAATAGAAGCAAATCAATTAGATTTTTCAACCTACAATGTATGAATTAGAATTTAAATAGTATAACATGTATGACATACCTGTGTATGGTGGACATTTTCTCTTCTCAGGAGGTGGTTTGTACTCCAGAGGAGGTCGTCGCTCAAAAAGCTTTAACAGATTATTTCAAACATCCCAAAATAAGTCCGCAAAGTTGAAAAAAATAGATATGAGAAATTACAAACCTGAAAACTTCGGTAGCATTAGTTGCATAAACAACTGTAGAGGCAGCTCGAGATGCAGATAGAACTGCAGCTTCTTCATTGTTTGACTTTTTAAACTCCTGTATAAACCAGTAATACAGTAAATTAATGAAAAGAAATTAAATGGAAGAGTGACCTTAGTGAAGCAAAGAAGGAAGAGAAGTGATTTAGGATTTAATGGATATTGTGGTTACCGGTCGTTCTGAAGATGGTTCGATCGGTGGCAGACATCCTCGTTCCTGACTTTTAGGGTTTTTTGGTAGCAATGTTTTTTGTTGAGAGAAGCCTCCGATGCTGCATCGTCCACGATGGCGACATGGTGGAGCAGCTGCAGATAAAAATCGATCTAAAAAGATGAAAATCGTGGCTGTAGAACTTCACATACCTTCAAAATTGAAGCCAGAAACCTGAAAATTGTGAAGTCGTCGTGGGTTGCCGAATGATTGGAAACGCTTGAATTTTTTTCAATTAATGGTAATACTTGATGGTGGTGTCTCGATCGTAACAGGTAAGCCAGAAGGTGGAGAAGAAGCGCCTTGGCATCGTGTACTACAACTGTGATTGAAGAAAGCGAAAGTCGAATGAGAAACAGGAGAAGAGGGGATAAGAATGGAGAAGCATCTGAGGCGGTTGATCGGTGGACAGATTAACCCCAGAGAAGAACACGTGAAGAGGCACTAATCAGAATCTGATTGGGTCGAGAAGCGGTGAAGCTAAGCAGAAACAACACGTCTCCCACCAAGATTATAAAAAATGGCAAAATATACCCCTAAAAGAAAGAGGCCAATAACAAATGCAACTACAGGGACTAAAAGAGACAAATAACCTCCTTATATATAAATTAACAGAGACACACAAACAAAAATAGAAGGACCAGAAATGTAATTTAAGGGACCAAAACTGGCCAAAATGTTTCAGGTTAACTGTTCCTTTTGTTCACAATTTTAATATATATATAATAATGGTTTAAATTAAGTCTTTTACTTAGAAGACTATTTCGGTTATATCCTATTCAATTTTGAATTTTAATATATTTTTTAATATTATATTAGTTTAATTTTAGTTAAAACTAGGAAAGTGCCCATGCTTCGCATGGGTTGGAAATAATTTAAAGTTTCTTAAAAAAAAATTGGTTGGAAATAATTTAAAGTTTTCTAAAAAAAAATTGGCACAAAAGTGACAATTGTCAAAGTTTAGTGGCGTTAGTGTAAAAAATCTTCAAACTTTAGTGCCAAGAGTGTAAATAAATAAAAGTGAAAGTTTTGTGGCAAAAGTGTAAAGAAATAAAAGTAAAAGAATCATCGAACTTTAGTGCGAAGAGTGTAAATAAGTAAAAATGAAAGTTTTGTGACAAAAGTGTAAAGAAATAAAAGTAATGTGGAAAAAATATGAATTGGAAAAGGTTTCTGTTAAACCAAAAGTGTAAAGAAATAAAACTAAAGTGGTAAAAGTATGAATTGGAAAAAGTTAAGGCAAAAGTGTAAGCACATAAAAGTAAAGTGGCAAAAATATGAATGGGGAAAAGTTAAAAATGGCAAAAATATGAATTGGAAAAGGTTAAGGCAAAAATGTAAAAAAAATAAAAGTAAAGTGTCAAAAGTATGAATTGGGAAAAGTTACTGTTAAAACTATCCATATGCTTTAAATATATATATATATATATATATATATATATATATATATATATATCGATATATATATAATATATATAGATTATATATATATATATCAGCAATCGAAATTTAGTAAATTAAATAATTATTTAATTAAATAAATATGGATATTAAATGATTTCCATAATTATATGTATATTAAATGATATCCATAATTATAATTCTTTTTTTATGGAAACTAATTAAATCCGTCATTAATGTCAACAATAACATTCTTTCAGAATAAATTTGTATCTATGTTTTTATATATGAGTTCGTATTTTGTTTCAGAACTCACTCACTTAAAATACAATAAAGTTGAATGGAATATGAAGAACGAGAGTGTATTCTACTCTCATTCTGTTGGAATACACTCTCATTCTTCTAGATATGTATTCATTCTTAAAGAATATTATTGTTGACATTAATGACGAATTTAATTAGTTTCCATAAAAATGAATTATAAGTATGTATAACATTTAATATACATATAATCAATACTAAATTCTTATTGGTGCATTCTAGCACACAATAGATGTGAGAAACATTTGAACCTGCCTATATATATATATATATATATATATATATATATATATATAGGGTTAGGTTATTTTGTTTCTAGTAACTATTGTGTGCCAGAATGCACATATCTGGACTATTGGATGAAATATAATCAAAGGTCATGATCTGAGGGTTTATGATAGTAGAATAGGATAACATGTACCATATAATCACACAAATTTGAGCATAAGGGTATTTTAGTCAATTAACCTATATTAAAAAAGGAAATTTTCGGATTTTTAGGGATAACTAATTCCTTTATTTTTAAAAATATGAATATTTTAAATTAATTTAAAATTAAAAATCCGATTTTATTCTGTCAGAATGATAGAATTTTAACCATAAATAATTAAACATATTTTTCGTTTGTATTCTGTCAGAATGACAGATTGTCAACCATAAACTAGTAAATATATTCTGAAAGAATACAAAAAATCGATTCTTGAACTAATAATATACCAAATAATTACATTGTATGATTGTGATTCATTGAATAATAACAAACATTCTGAAAGAATAACAAGTATAATTCTTAAAAAATAACAACATTCTTAAACAATGAGTGTGATCATTCTTTAATTCATTCTTCAAGCCTTTCCCATCAGGTCTTCAAGCCATTCTTCAAGCCATTTCTATCAGAAATTCATTGCCAAGTAATTTGTAGTGATACACTTGTGTTTGCATTCTGATATGAAAAAAATAAAGAATAAAATTCCAGTTCATTCTTAGAGAACAATCATTGTAAAAGAATAAAATTAAAGCTTTCCTGCCTTTTTTGGTTGTCTAGGTCTGATCAATTTCCAGGATTACATGTGAAGAATATTTCCCTTCTTCATTCTGAAAGAATAGTAGCCTTCTTCAAACTAAAGTCCTCTTTATTTTAAAAGAATATTGCCCTCATTCTGAAAGAATTTTCAGGTTAACATTCAGTTGGTAAAGCAAACAAGTTATATTACTGTAAGTGAAAATCAAAAATTATAAAGTTTGAAACCATTTAAAGCTAAAGTTTGCAAACCTTTAAGTATTACTCAATTAACTAAAATATTAAAAAAAAGAAAAAAAAGAAGAGAGCATGGAAGGAATTTGTTGCAATATCAGCCAAGCTGATGATGATATTCACATACAAACAAACAATAAATCATCACAAATCAAGGAATGTGAATGGAATGGAATGGAAATATGGAATGGAGTCAGTCATTACCTTGAGAAGGTGCAGTAACATAATAAGCAAGACCACCAACTAGATTGGCTTCCAGCACTGAATCAATACATCAGAATAACGAATAAGTCAAAATCATAGAAGGCACCTTGAAGATCCTAGTTTTTAATCTAATCTGAATGTGTGGAGGAGTGAGTTTCAATTACTTGACAGATCAATGAAAACAAGCAAATATGAACAATTCGTACAGAAAAAGATAAAAAAAAACTAATCAGAATATTTAATGAAAAAATTCAGATTTATAAACGAAAAAAATAGTGATCAGAGATAAATTATACCATCGTTTCTAGTAGGGTTCGATCGGTCATGAAGGTCATGCTACCTTTTCCTTAGTATATAGGATGGGATAAACAAATGGGAAATAGAGGCTATCGAGGCTTCAATGATCACGAAAAGCAACCAGCGTAAGCGGAAATAACAGAGGGAAAAGAATCGGAATTCACAATTAAAAGCTACTCTGGATTAGGGCGACGGGAAATCGAGGTCAAACGAAATTTATACCATCAAATTACTTCTCATACCGGCTTTGAAGAGTTTGAAAACAAAATTTGGCATCTGTACTTCTCATACCTGAATCAACAATCCAAGGGACGATCACGGGAATTCGAGGTTTGTAAAGCAAAATCGACCGGTGTGGAGATGATGGTTAAACTGTGAAGCCGGACGGTATCATAGCGGGAAGAAGGGGCGGGAGCCTTCCCGCACGACGGAACACCGCACCGTCGCTGCGGGAGGCGGATGTGCGGGAATGGGGGATGGGAAGATACCTCGCGTTCTCTTTCTCTCTCTGTCATTGGCCAGAGTTTTATTTATTTATTTATTTATTTATTTATTTATTTATTTGTGAAATAGCCGTTTATTAAAGGTAAAAATAATTTTTTTTACCAACGGGTATATGCATTTAAACCCAAATTTTTTTGTTTTTTTTTTTGTTTTTTTTTTTACCTTTTTAAACACCTATAAATACCCAACTATTTACCTTCAATCAACATTCAAACAAACCCTCTATTCTCTCTATTTTCTTCTCAAAAAAAAAATGAATCCCAACAATCAAACCCCAAATTCTGATCGAAGGAAAAAAAGCCATGGTTCGAGTTTAAACATCCCTACTCGAAACATTTTTGCTATTGATTCATTACCACAAGGAGTTTATCGCCCCCAACTCGATGCTCCCATTCAATCCCAACTACAATTTGAATACCAAAATGTTGGACAATATTACCCGCTCCAAGTTCCAAATGTTACGCCGCAAATGTTTTCAAACTTTGTTGTGTTTCCGGATCAACAATCGTCAAATCAACCTCAACCCCAAACCCAAACTCAAACTCAAACCCAAACCCAACAACAACGCCAACTTTTCGATGAGTTGGATGACTCGGAAGAAGAAGAGATGGTTCCCGAAACTCAACCCACACCACCCCCACAAAGACGTAAAGGGAAACAACAAGCACGCGAGGGTGTCGCACAACCGGGAAGACAAAAGCCGACAGCATGGCTTCCACACGAAGAGCTAGTTTTGGTCAAAGCTTGGACTGACATTTCTGAGGATTCGATTCAAGGAAACGCACAACCGGGAGACCATTTTTGGTTTCGCATTTTAGAACGGTTTCGAGAGGAGCTAGAAAAAGGTGACGACTACCGTACGAAACATCAACTGAATTTGAAGTTTCGAGAAATAGGAAAGGGGGTTTAAAAAATAAACGGGTTGTACAACAACCTAAAAACCCAACGAAAAAGTGGCCAAGGCGACGAACAAATACTTCAAGAAGCTTTGCAGTTTTACCTTGAGGAAGTTGGGAAACCATTCAAGTGGCACGATTGTTGGAAATTATTGGTCCGATGTCCTAGGTGGAAAAAATACGAGCAATATTTTATTTTTGGAGCAAGATTTTTTAGTCTAAGAACATTAACGTAATACTTAAAGTGTATACATATATATATATATATAGATATATATATATATATATATAATATATATATATATATATATATTAGTTTATAACCTGTAGGAACCACGGTAACAAACTTAATTAAACTTTTATACTAAAAATTCAAAGTTATTAATCAATTATTTAAAATAAATTATTAATTAAGAGATTTTTTTAGTTATATAAAATTATAATCATTGATTTAAATAAATATGTGAAATTATATTACTTTATAATTTGTATTAATTTTATTTTAAATTTTATTTTAATGATATTAATTTAATCTAGATAGAGTGAGAAATTTAAAATTTAAATATTAAAATGAATAATCAAAGGGTTGACAAATGACAAATATTAATTACGAGATATAATAGTGTGACACGTGACAAAAAAAATATGCATTAATTAAGAGGCCTAATAAGGTGACACGTGTCAAAAGTAGAATAAAACTATTTTTTAGTAGAATATATATATAGATATATATATATATATATATATATATATATATATATATATATATATATATATATATATATATATATATACTAGCTTATAACCCGTGAGTACCACGGTTATAAAACTAACTAAACTTTCATATTAAAAATCAAAATTATTAATCAATTATTTTAAATAAATTATTATTTAAGAAATATTTTTTAGTTATATAAAATTATAATCGTTGATTTAAATAAATACGTGAAGTTATATTATCTTATAATCTGTATTACTTTTCTTTTATTTTTTAATCTAATGTTATTAATTTAATATAATTAGAGTGAAAAAATTTAAAATTTGAAATTTAAAATGGAAAATGAATTATTAATTTAACTTAATTAGAGTGAGAAATTTGAAATTTGAAATTTGAAATTGATAATTAATACTCCCTCCGTCCCATATTAATAGTCCATGTTTCCTTTTTGGTTTGTCCCAAAATAATTGTCTGCTTCTAAAAATAAATATTTCTTTTACCATAATACCCCTCATTATTAGTTAAATTACCATAAAATTAAATGCAACTACCATAGAATTAAATGCAAGAGAAGGGTAAGACTGTCATTTTATTTAATAAAATTAATGGTAATTAATGTTTTCTTAAACTGTGTGGTTTTTGTCTGTAGACTATTATTTTGGGACGGAGGGAGTAGATTGACACGTGTCATTATAATTAACATATAATATTAATGAAAGTTCTAATAGCATGACACTTGTCAATAGGAGAATAAACATATTTATTTATTAGAATGGGATATATATATATATATATATATATATATATATATACATATATATATATATATATAGATATCTATATATATATATATCCCTATTCTCTAATAAAAAAAATAGTTTTATTCTTTTTTTGACATATGTCACCATATTAGGCATTATAATTAATGCATATTTTATTCTTTTTTGATGTGTCACCCTATTATGTCTCATAATTAATGAATGTCAATTGTCAACCTATTGATTCTCTATTTCAAATTTCAAATTTCAAATTTTCCACTCTAATAAATTAAATTAATAACATTAGATTAAAAATTAAAATAAAATTAATACAAATTATAAAGTGATGTAATTTTATATATTTATTTAAATCAATGATTATAATTTTATAAAACTAAAAACAATCTCTTAATTAATAATTTATTTAAAATAAGTAATTAATATTTTAAGTTTTTATTATATAAGTTTAATTGACATTCTAACCGTGGTTCCCACGGGTTATAAACTATATATATATATATATATATATATATATATATATATATATATATATATATATAATTTTCCCTTTTTATATAGCACTTATTTATTTTATTTTTTTCACTCATAATTAGCCCAAAAATGGATGGATGTTTTTGAGGTCGAAAATCTTTAAATTTATCCCTTCTAATCCTTTTATTTCCTTTCCTGAAGAACAAACACTATTATCTCTTTAAATCCTTTCATTTTATTCTTAAAAAAAACTACAAAACACGGTGTATCTTCAGGGGCGTATCCACCATATGCTTAGGTAGGTCCTAAGACCTACCTAAGTTCTCAATTTCATTTAGAATGTATACAATAGAAAAATTAGGAACTACTTTAGAAAAAATAAAAGACCTACCTTTAGTTTGTTTTTTACAAAAATTTCTTAAAAAACCATTTTAAAAAGAGAAATATATAAGTTATTAGGGCAATTTGTTATTTTAAATTATGAGATTGATAACAAAAGTTAACCACTCTTAATCGGCACTCTCAAAATATTAATAAATAAATAAGTTTTTTTAATAAAATGAAAGCCCACATGCCAAAGACTCTCATTCTCCGTTCGCCGCTTTATCAATGGACTAATAATCAACTAGTTTTTCGTTAAACCGTACGTATTTTTCAGTTATATTTCAATCAGTTTTTTAAAATTTTTAATCGGTGGCACAAGGTACATGAGCCGATTGAACTGGTTCAGTTCTTTTTAAGGTACATGAGCCGACCTGACCCGACCCCAAATGTTGTTGATTTTTTTATTGGTCTCACTTAATTTAGGAACCACGTTATTTTTTGTTCTAGATTCGCCACATTGTATCTTCATGATCTCCGGGTCAATTTATATTTTTATACCCAGTATCTCGTATGCGCGCAGTTTCCTCAGTTTCATAGTAGATCATCCAACTTCACGAAAACAATCATCAAAAATAACCCGATCCGATTCTCGAAAAAAACATGGACAATAACCATCAAGTAAACGACGCTAAAAGGCCTCTCGATCCAACCTCATGTAGTTACCTAAAATCAGTCATTTTTATTTTCTTCTAGCTAATTTGTTTTCTTCTTAATTAAAAGTATTTTACTAATATTTATTGTTATAATTTATCGATCAAAGGATTCCCTTGATATTTTAGGAGAATATGACAAGTTCTTCATTGGCTATTTCAACTCGTAGTGAGCAAGTACATATGTTGCAGCTGGTTAAAAAAGTTCTGAATATCTTTTTAAAACGTTTATCTTCCTGATCTCAGGGTCAACTTATACTCTATATATCGTATGCTGTTTCCACAGTTTCATAGTCCATCACCCAACTTCTTCACGAAACAATCATCAAACAACTCCAACTCGAAAAGAAATGGAGAACAACCATCAAGTAACCGACGCTAAAAGCCCCCTCCAACCTCATGTATTAATCTTTTCGCTACCATTTCAAGGACCAGTTAACTGTGCTCTAAAGTTAGCCGAACTCCTATGTCTTTCCGGCATCCATGTCACCTTCCTGAACACCGAGCACATCCACCGCCCTCTCCTCCTCCATACCCACGTCGTATCACGATTCACCGCTACCCAAACTTCCGATTTGAGACAATCCCTGATGGAGTTGAACATGAAAATCCTGTCTCCGCTGACCGGTTCATGGAGGTGATGGAAGGTATAGATACTGTGAGTAGACCCCTTTTCCGGGAGATGATGATTTCCGGTAGCCTGAGTTCGAGATCGGTGCGGCCGGTGACGGTGATGATACTTGATGCTTTCTTCAGTTTTGGTTTGGATGTAGCTATCGAGACGTCGATTCCTGTGGTTTTCTTCGAGACGGTAAGTCCATGCTTCTTGTGGACTTGTTGCTTGAATCTTCCTACACTTATTGAAGCTGGGGAAGTTCCCTTCCAAGGTGTGTATTCTCTTAATTACTCGGTTGCGTCATAAACAGGTACTCTTATTATTTATTTATTTTTTAAGTATATAGTGTCGTATTTTGACAAGTATGGCATAAGAAGACAATTCTTTTGAGCTTTTGTGACATAAGGTTACTTCAATTTTAATATTATTTATATATTCTCTGTACCAAAACTTATTCCACATCGAATTTGATAATTAGTAACAAAGTGCTTTTATTGAGAAAATTACAAAAATAGTTATTTTTTCTTATTTTTTTTAGAAAATAACAAAAACAACACCAAAATTACAACAGCTACTGAAATCGCAGATGGATTATAATAATTTATGATTTCACGTTCTCTTTTGCGAACGTACAAGTTATTAAAGCAGACTCGTGCAATGGGGAGTTATACGTTTGTAGATGGACTCGTCTACCTGTGAACATGAGAGACCATCTACGATTTTAGCTTTTTGAAGTATAAATACCTTAATTTTTTTGGAGCACTCATTTTTCTTGATTTTTGTTGGGGAAAGTCTTTCGGACGGACTTTTCCACGTGAAAAAAAAATTGTTGACGTACAATACAAAGGTACAACCTGAAGATGCATCAGAAATCAGTTTTATAACAGAAATCATATTTATATCACATTGTCTAACATATTTACATAATACTTGCATCAAAAATCAGTTGGCTACAAATATAAAGTATAAAAACCGAATGTATAACCTCACAAATACAAAGGTACAACTACAAGATGGATCAGAAAACAGTTTTTTTAACACAAATCATATTATTATCACATTTCTATAACATAACTCCCTCCGAGAGACTTTTTCCCAACAAAAATCAAGAAAAAATGAGTGCTCTAAAAAAATTAAGGTAGTTTTACCTTGAAAAAGCTAAAATCATAGATGGTCCCATGTTTGTCTATCTGCAAACGTACAAATCGTTTATACACGACACCGTTTTAACTACTTGTATGTTCGCAGACGAGAAGGCAAAATCATAGATGGCCCTAATCAATCTGTGATTTTAGTGACTATTTTTGTAATTTTGGGTTTTTTTGGCTTTTTTCTACAAACAGATTAGCAAAAATGACTATTTTTGTAATTTTATCGCTTCTATTTATGTTTGGTTTAATAGTTAATTACTAGTTTTTAGATCCATATTATTATGATAGTTTAATGTTCCATGTTAATTAGGAACAAAGTGCTTTTATTTATGTTTGGTTTAATAGTTAATTACTAGTTTTTAGAGCATCCATATTATTTTGCGAATTTAATGGAAGGTTTGAATGAAGGAAAAAACTAGTAGACATTTAATAAATGTGGAGTCAATGACCAATAAACTCTTCAATGTGAAAAAAAAAGTTTTGTAAGTTTAATGTATTGTAAAAAATGTTGAAAAACTTATTAGGTGCTACTATGTCAAGCAACTGGGCAACAACGGCTAGCCTGGTTGGTAGAGGGTATTTCCTCTTAGAGTAGTGCCCCAAGTTCGATCATGGGCTAAGGCGTACTAAACTGCCGTTCAAAAAAAGTACCCACATATATTATATGTGCTTTACTTTCAACCCAATAGATATTAATTTCAAATAAAATTGATCCCAATTGATATCTTCTTCCTTTTAAACGGAAAACACAACGACACAAACATGCATCCAGCATATTGTCGCCGACAAAAAAAGAAACATGAGTCGGTGTTCACCGTCGGTAAGAATGTCCATGTCTGTTTTCCATCAACAAAAAATGCATGACACAATGCATCCTTAGGGAGTACTCGGCTAGAGTAAATTGTAAGCCTACTCATTTTCAGGAATTGTTATATATGAAAAACATTAGTAGGTTATTAAGTTCATCACAAAATAGACAAATAGCAATAAAAGTATACATGTTCAAATGGTAAACTAGTTCAAATAATAAACATTTTAATCTTAAAAAACTTTAGGGTGAGAGTAAGAAAGTGTATATGATATGTTTATGTGGTATTTTTTAGATTAGTTATATAGTTAGAATATTAGATAGAGTAAAAATATAAAGTAAAACATAGAATCCAAAGTTTGATCAAGTTGTTTTGAGTTTGACCGGATCCGAGTAACTTGCCTAAGATTTTATAAACCAACTTAGACAATGATCGATTTCAGAGTAGGGGTCGAGTACTCGGTCGAGTTGGCCGGGTTTTACAACACTGATTGTAGGAAACAATTATAGTTGTATAAAAAGTAGTTAGATGATATGGTAATTCATTAAATTATGTTGTGTTCACTACATTGTGGATACCCATAAGAGAAGTTGTTCTTTACAATGACCTAAGTTTATTTAGGGGCTATTTTAGTTTAGTGATGTAAAAGCTAAAAATAGCCCTCGGTTTAGTGGTTTTAATAATATCCCTTAAGCCGCTCTTTAAAATTTTGATTTTCACATTTGAAACCAAAGCTATTTGAAGGGTGTAATTGAGCGTCAGAGTGTGCTGATAAAGCAAGAGATTTTCCAAGAGGCATGAATCTCATGTAACAAGATCAGAATGCTAACTTTATCATCATAAAAGTTTGTGTATATTACTACTAAAGTTCAATGGTTGTTATGATTATTGGTCAGTTGCGGTTGAGAAATTTTTAAGAAACAAGGAGATGTAGAACTTGATGGACGAAGGAATCCACACATTAACATTTGGGATGACATACGCTAATGATACACAATGGAAGTTTGTGGAGCATGTTAATATCAAAGAGATTAAGGTTAATAACAACCTATTCTAGCAAAGTAATAGAATAGAAATAATAAATTGATAAAGGGATGTTGAAGAAAATATGAGAAATAATGAAAAAGAGGGTATCAAGTAACCAAAAAGTTTAAAAGAGCATAATGCATGAATGATTCTAATATATTGGTAATAAAGGAATAAGAGAGCAAGGATAGTCTCTTAGTGAGGCAATGAAGCAAAATACAATTTTTAGCAAGATACCCACGAATCAGTATAGTTTTGGGTAGTTTTTATGGGAGATTTGTTGAAGAAAGAATTAGTTATCGTTTTAGAAAATGATTAACCACTTTGGACTTCTTTGAATATACTAGTTCTAGGTTACGGGGATGAGGAGAAAGAAGATGATGTCGGTGATGAGGATGTTCTTGTTGTACTTAACTGTGGAGAAAGGGGTGTAGGTGGGGTTTGGGATTCATATTATAAATTATAATAAACTACTAAAAAATTAAGAAGGGCATACATGCCATTTTACATGCAACAAGGCCAACTACATATGAAATTTAAACCACAAGGACCACTAGCTTGATGTTTTTTTATAGTTATCCTTGAAATGATATTTTTTTAGAAACCACAGGAACCAATTTTTAAAATTTGTCTAAACTTTTTTATGTTATTTGTTCGATAGAAGATTCAAAGAACTTAAGTGTAACGTCCCAAAATATAGAGTAAAATTTTCACTTTTAATTATAATAAAACCAACCTATCATCATTCCACAAAAGTAACCGAGTTATAAGTTTGAAATTCCAAAATCAAATATTATAGTAAATAATATATAAGCCATCAATGCGGAAAATCTCCAGTGGATACGATACAATCAGATCATGTTCTTCCTTTTGCAACCAGAAATACCTGAAACGTTGAAACGTACAACCATAATCATAGAGCTTAGGTGTTCCCCAAAATACCACATGCCATATAATAACGGGCCTAACCCAAGAAGCATATAGGTAGGCCCAACCCAAAGGGTCCAACCCAACAGACATATCAACAGGCCTAACCCATCAATCTTATAAATAGGCCCAACCCATCAAGTGTATCATCAAACCAATAAGAGTCACGAAGACAACGAACATATATTGACACCTAGTGTCATACAGTATAGTGAGAACACTCACCTAAATCAAGATCTGAAAAGACAATCTTCACAGTCACACATATTCTGCTACACATGCTACCCAAACCAAACAAAGGTCCAACCTCTGTCTACTAATCAAACTCCTAAGTTTGACTGAAAGTCAAATTGGTTAAAAAAGTCAACACTTAACCAACATCGACCATTGAGCCCGACCAGACCCTTTGGTTGCACTGCAGTCGCTAAAGGAAAAATAGTCGCGACTGGGTCTCGTGACCTACACCACGGTTCTCTATCCACCGCATCGTGGCAAATCGCCATAACAACATAATCCATTAAGGACTTAATCCTTAATGTCCAAAGCTTATAATATCGGATCTAGACTTTCTTAATGACTTAATAAATAAAGTTTCCAACTTTATCAATTCCCATGGTTCAAATTCTTCAAATCTCAAAAACCTAACTCTTTCATGGACAAAACTCATGCATAGATCAAGGAAAAAGCATGCATATAACTTTTTCCTTCAACAATCAAGTTTAGAAGTTCTAATACTCACTCAAATGCTCTATATTTGTCCAAACTCAAAGAACACCAAGAAAAAGGACTCAACCCCATCATAAATGACTCAAAACAATATCTAATGAACTGGAGATCAAGGTTAAGACTTTAGATCTCCAAATGTCCAAAGATATGAAGAAAATGTTGGATCTAGGCTGGCTCTTCACTTCTTTGAACCAAAAGAGAACTCCTTCTTTACCAAACTTCACAAAAACCAGAGAAAAAGATCATAACAGAAGTATGGATGATAAGGCTTGCATGGGAGGGTTTCTCAGGGATTGAGGCTGATGTATTCCCAAAACCCTAGGAGTTAATGCCTTTGAATAGGGTGTAAGGACCGAGATTTAGGGTTTAGTGCCCACCCGCCACCATGTCCTCGTCATCACTTGAACACGCCCCAACTTAAATGACATGACCGTGTCACGATGGATCTCCACCACTGCGTCACGTTCAACCAAAATCCCAAAATCCAAGATTTAAGAATAATCAAATGCCAAAAGAATAATACCTGAAACAGATGTTACATTGAGTATCCTCAAGGTTGATGAGGTGAATAAAAGTGTTATTGTTCATAAAAAAATGATGTAACGAATCCAAGATGATCAACATGTGTCAAAAGTTTCTTAAGAAAACAAATTAGACATATGAGGTG